CCTTTCAGCACCTCCCACCCTCTGAGAAACTGGCCGCAGACATGCCTGTTTTCAAGAACCTGTTTAAACAGGCTCGCAGTTCTAATCCACCAGCTGCTCTTCAGAAGGATGGGCTTTCTCCTCCTGTGAGATCCCTCAGTGGCACCCAGCAGCATTTGAATAGGGGGGTGATGCACCCTTTTCTCCAGGGAGAGGGTTTACACACCCCTTTCTGCAGGGAGGCACCTTCAGGTTGTACAGTGTGCGTGGGGAGGTCAGTTCATGATAGCATGTGGTTGGGGTTGGGGTTGATTGCCTTTGAATCGAGCTCGACTCACAGCAACCCTGTGAACAAAAGGCTGGAAGCCTTTCTCTAACTATCGACATTTATCAGTGTTCATAGCAGGAAGCTCCCCTAATTTGCACAACTGTTCCAGGCTGAACACCAGCCGCTGAGATTGAAGTCCGCCGAATGTGAGGTGCTCTGCCATTCGGAGCTCACCTAGCCCCTCAGAAAATGGGGCAAATGTTTAGAAACCTCCTCAGATTTCTTACTTCATCAGGAGACGTTGGGTAAACCCTTCCTTCCTGCACCAGTAAGAATGGGGACAGCGCTATGATGACAATCCAGAACGCATTTCTTTGTCAGCAAATACTGTCAGGAATTTTGTGCACACATGGAGAAGGCGTGCAGGAACCTGGGAGAGCGCTGGCGCTGCGGGGGAGCTTTGCTGGGAGCTGGAGGGACCTGCAGATGTTTCATACAAGTCTCAGCCGAGGGCGTTTGCCAGATTCTGCTTCAGTAGTGAAAACAGGAAGGATTACTTTTTTGTGAGTCACTGAGGGCAAAAGATGTAGTGGAGAAAATAGAACTTACCATCAGCTCTCAAGTTGGAAGAACCCCTGTATGTTGAAAAGCTGTGTAATGTAATAAAATACCAAGGAAAAATAGACTAATTCTGTCTAATTGATAAGCATTTGAGTATTTGGTATTAACAGGATAAGATCGGGACATGAATACAAACTAAACTAAAAATAAGCTTCTCCCCCAAACACACAGCAGTCAGCAGGCAGATAGAACTCTAAGGAATTGGCTCCAGTTGGTCAGAGTGCCTGTCCTTGACGTGTTGGACAAGGCACACAGTGTGGCACACTGAACTGTATAACGTCGTGTTTTTTAGGTTAATGATAGAATACTTAATTCTGTAATGGAAAATTGATAAGTCACCAAAACTTTCCACACGAAAGCCCAGTACCAGATGTGTCATGATGAATTCTACCAAATTAACAAAGAGTTAACAACAGTGCTTCACGCACTCTTCCCAAAAATTGAGGTGAGAATGCTTCCCAACTTATTCTATGAGGCCAATATAAATTACCCTTAAACCAGTATCAGACACAAGAAAAGAAAATGGTAGAACAAATATAAATGTAAAATGACTCAAGAAAATACAAACTAAATTCAGCAATATATTAGGAAGGTTATATAGCATGTCTAAGTAGGATTCATCCCGGAAATGCAAGGTCGGTCAAACGTGTGAAATTTAATCCGTATTGACAGAATCCATTTTAACAGAATAAACTCTAAAAACACCCGACAAAGTAAGACTAGGGGAAACATTTTCAACCCGACAAGGGACATCTTTGAGGTTGAAAACTTTCCCCGTAAGATAAGGAATAAGACACAAAATTGTGCCCACTACTTCTGGACAATCTTGTAATAGAGGTTGTAGCCAGAGTAATTAGACAAGGAGAAATAAAAGACTTTAATAAAATTGTAAGGAATGTGGCAAGGGGGAGGGTACAAACCGTATTTGAGTCAGTAAACTAGTCAGAGTTAGGTTACCAGATACAAATACAAGATACGCAGAAATCAACTGTGAGCAAGTCAAAGGAAAATTAAGACATGATTTCACTGTGAGAGCTTGGGAAGAGTACAACACTTGAGAATAAAACTTAATATTCTGTTCAGATTGGTCTGCAGGTTCAACACAATCCCTAACAAAATCGAAATTAAATTTCTTTCTGTACTTGACAAACTGATCCTAAAATTTATATGATAATTAGAGACAACTAGAACAGCACCCTCCCACAAAAAAAAGTCTTGGGAGGGAACAGAGCTAGGGAGTTCAGCCTCTCGGCCTCAGGACTCATTACAAAGCTGCTGTAGTTGGGAGCGGGTGGCACTGGCAGAGCTGAGCGTGCAACAATGGAGTGGGCCTGCGAGCCCAGAAATGAGCCTGGGCATTTACGGTCACTGGGTTTCCACAAAAGCACCACAGCCGCTCAAAGGGAAAGAACAGGCCTTTCAGCAAATGGCACTGGGAAGACGGTGTATCCACATGGGAAATCCAGGTATGAGACGAGACACTTAGGAACACAAGAGGTGTGGATGGGGCTTTGTGGCCTGGCACCGAGAGTTTTTCAGCTGGGATGCCTCAAAGGGCAATAACCGAAACAAAACTGGGACTTGATTACGAGAAGACCAACTGTACCTACCGTGAAGGACACCAGCAAGTGAAGGCAACTCTTAGAAAAACATTTCCATTTCCCTGATACTGTGTTTGGTGCCATCGTGTCAAGTACGACTCAGAGGAACAACATATCAGAGCCTTGGCCTGGCCTGTGCCATCCTTAACAACCTCTGGCACAGCCAAGCCCATTGCACAGTCACTATGTCCATCTACATGGGTGAGGGTCTTCCGTCCCTTCACCGTGCCCCCACTTTTCCAAGTGTGATGTCCCGCTCCAAGGAATAACCTGTCCTAGCAACATGCCCAAAGTATGTGAAACAGAACTTCTTCTCTGACTCCAACTGTGGCATTTGGACAAGAACAAACTGGGAGGAGGGTAGAGAGAATGGTGCAACAGTGAATGAATGGAAACCCAAAATCTCTGTAAATGTTTATGAACATTAATAAAATATAATTATAGGGGAGGAAAAAAGCACTCTGATTGCACCTCTAGACGTATCTGTCTGTTCTTTTGGCAATCTGTGAGGTCTTCAGCCCTCTCCCTCCAGCCTCACAACTCAGGCATCTTCTGTAATCTTTCATCATTGTCCAGCTTTCAGCAGCAAAGAATACCTTGGGCCTCAAGCTGACATTGCTTCTCAATAATTTGGAGAGATTCTTGACTATAGACTCTTTCAGTGCAATACATCTCCTGACGTCCTGACTGCTGATAAAAGTGTATTGAAAAGGATTGACATGCACTTCGCAAATAACAGGCCTCTGAAAACCCTGTGAACAGTAGAGGAACACAGATAGATGCAATAGTAGAGGTAAAACCCAGCCTGGAAGTGAATAAAAATGGGGAGAAACAGCTGCAAACCTTCTTTCTTTGATAAAGGTCTAATATTCTAGTATCCATAATATTTAAAGAGCTCTTAACAGCTCAACAATAAAAACTATTAAAGCATGAACAAAGGATGTGAGTGGACTCTCCAGCAGGTGACTGTGGCTGTAAATTGCACTGTTGTTCTGTACCTTCAGAACACTGTCATAGCTGACCCTCTAACAGGTTTTCAGAGGCTGCCCATCTCTCACGGAGCAGCTGGTGGATTTGAACCACTTGCCTTTGGGTGGGCAGTGTAACTGCTCACTGCTAAACTGCCAGACGTAATCATACTAGAAATGCTTTAAAAATAAAACCTCAGAAGAGAGCAGAGCTGAGACTTCACTCCCTGCTAGGGAGGTGATTACTTGTCTGTCTTCTGCAGAGTTGTATTCAAGCTGCCTTTGGGTAACAGTGCAACTCCCTAGAGACTAGGCTACCAGAGCTCAAGAGGAGATCTGCAAGTGGTCAGCAAGCCCACAAAGAGAAGTTCAATACCAGTAACCCTTACGGAGATGGACAGCAAAGCCAAGTGAGGGACCACTCCACACCCACTAGTATGGCTAGGATTGAAAAGATAGACAATAACAGGTATTTTAAGAAAGTGGAGAAATTGATCTTTCTAGATTGCTCTTGGGAATGTAAAATGCTGCAGCTTTGGAAAAGCTGCTTCTCACTGTAGAATGGTGGGCCGCCTGTTTTGACTGTAGAAGAGTGACCCTCCTGGTGTCCTGGCTGTGGACCCTGCAGCCCCTCTGATGCTCCAGTGGTGGAGGCAGGAGGGCCCTGCAAGCCCACACATGGTGGGGTGCAGAATGCAAACCCCCTGGAGAACAGCTCATGGCGTTGGTCAAATTGGCCATCCCACCAGATTTAAAGTGACCCACCTGAGCAGAAAATGGGAATCTTACCAGCAGCAAGGAAGAAGGGCGTTCAGCTCGAGTCCCTCGGGGTCAGAGAACCCTGCGCCAATCAGGCCAGGGTCTAGCCGGGAGCAGCAGTACAGACCCGAGGAGCACAAGAGACACAGCCGACTTCGGACTGCTGCCCCATGGAGCCAGAGCCAGGGACCTTCGCCCAAAGCCAAGGGTCAGGGGAAGACACCATAAATGGCTTTGTAGCACTGACCTAAAGCTGAGAACGTCAAAGAACCCGCAGGGTATTTGATAAGCTGTCTAAGGAATTAGATCCTGTTTCCAACCTAAATTGTAACCTGCCAACTTCCCCAGTAAACCCCCGTAATCATGAGTATGGTTCTGTGTGCTTGTTGCAGTGGATTTCCAGATGCAGTGTTAGCCCTGGGAGGGGCCGTTGGTGTTGTCATTGGTCGATGCAGGTGCAGGACCACCTGACCTTGTGCAGGCAGGCCTTGTGCTGTGGGGGTTGCTGATGGGGCATTTCCCCCTTGGGAAGTTAGAGGAGGTCAGATTCAGCTGTGTCCTGGCAGGAGGACAGCGGGTCTCCCACATGGACACTCCTGTGTCCCGGCTGTAGGACAGCAGGTCCCCCACGTGGACACTCCTGTGTCCTGGCCGTAGAACTGTGGGTCTCCCGTGTGGACACTCCTGTGTCCTGGCAGTGGACAGCGGGTCTTCCACGTGGACACGCCTGTGTCCTGGCCGTAGGACAGCGGGTCTCTCAGGTTGATTCTGGAGCTTCTTAGGAACATCTGATTTCTTCCTCAGGTGCCCTATGAAACACTGAACAAACGCTTCCGAGCAGCTCAGAAAAACATCGACCGAGAAACAAGCCACGTCACCATGGTGGTCGCTGAGCTGGAGAAGACCCTGAGCAGCTGCCCTGCCGTGGACTCGGTGGTCAGCCTTCTGGACGGCGTGGTGGAGAAGCTCAGTGTTCTGAAGAGGAAGGTGAGTGAGCCCTGCAGACCTAGCCAAGCCAGTGAGTGAGTGTGCCATCAGGATGAGCAGTTTTCCCCCCGAGCTGGACGTGACTGAGGCTGGGAAGTCATGAAGTAGAAAAGCTGTGTAGTGTGGTGGACAGACTGTGGTCCGTGACAGCCCAGAGGACACAGGACAGCTCTTGGTTTACAGTTCACCTCAGAGGACTCGGCACCTACAACTTCCACGGTTTCAGGTCTCAGATGTTCTGTGACTTGTAGGGAGGATATATGCCTAGGTGCTAATTCCATTTAAAGAACCTTCTCACATTAACTCTGCTAGGGTTTGACAGGATACTCAAGACTCACTGCCCTGTTTTTTAGGATTCAGCTAATTTTGAATTTAAACACCTTAACAGTTTCAGAAGATCATGTTTATCAAGGCCATGATTTTTTTTCTAGATGGGTTTAGTTTCAGGGAAAAGCTATCTTCCACTCTTTCTGTGTCTTTCCATTAAGTCTTTTCAACTGAGTATGTTACCTACACTGACTTTCTGTAGAATGACCACAGTTGGCGCGTTGCAGGAGGTTAGCAGAGGTGTGTTTCCCAGGAGGCGGCTGAGCTCAGCTGTCCAGACTTTGGTTCCTTCCACATTCTGGTCTTGCTCTTGAGAAACAAGCCCCGGGCTGCTTGTTTCCCACCCAGCAGGGCTGGTCAGCTGGCCACTTCTCTTCTTGCAGATGTCAGAGAAAGTGAATCAGGATTTTTACCTGGCTGCTGAGAAGTGTGAATGTGTGAACACACCTTCTCTTCCATCGTCAGAGAACTGGACCATCGCTCTTCCAGCCACACACTCCCACCTGCCAGGGGCCTTTGCTGAGTTACATGGAGCTGTGCAGGTGTGGGGTGACTTTCTTGTGCACATCTCCTAGCGCTTCTCCCACCAGGAGCATGGAAGCTGGGGCCCAGGCAGCCTGCGCACTGGCCTCTTGAGAGAGTCCTAGAGACAGAACCTGGAGGCTGGGGCCTCGGCCCCTAGGAATCTACCCTCAGTGAATTTAGATGTGCCGGAGAGAGCTCGGACTCTGCCAACAACGAACAAAACAAGAACAGTCATCTTACAGAGACTGTGGCTTGTCAAAGGAAACCCAGATTCGTAAGAAAGAAGGGCTCTCTCCTTGGATGCTGCTGCTGGGGTGGGTGTCAGCTTCCTGTCCCACGTTTAGTGACCAGGCTGTCTTTGGACTCCAGGACTGTCTCTTGCTCAGACAGCTAGAATGCCAAGATGTGTAACAGATTGCTTTCTTATATCTTAAATTTCATGTCAGAATAGCACGTGGGATTTCTTATTTCTGTGGCAGATACTCAGATAAATCTTCCCACTGAGAACAGCCCCAAAAAAGCTAGAGAGGACTTTTTAAATGCGCCCTATTTAAAGCATCTGAGAGCTCGGGCGATGGAGGGGACACCTCATGAGTGGTGAGATGGTGAGGAAGCTGCTTCCACCATTTAAATTCACTGAGGGTAGATTCCGAGACCCCAGCCTCCAGGTTCTGTCTGTAGGAGTCTCTCAGGAGACCAGCGCGCAGGCTGCCTGGGCCCCAGACTCTCTGCTGGGGCCGCAGACACTCCTGCCCGTCCTGGCGGGCATAGCGCACGGAAATGAGCACAAGGTCACCCCACACCTGCACAGTGCCATGTAACTCAACAAAGGGCCCCCCTTGCAGGGGGACTGTGTGGTTGGGAGAGTGAGGGCCCAGTTTTCTTTTTGGTCAGGTACCACATGTGACTTTCTCTGAGGGTCCTGCTTCTGGGCCAGGTGACACAGGGCCAGTGCAGAGCAGGAATCTAACTAGAGGCCTTTCTGACACTAGCTGGGGCCCTGGAGTGCAAAGCCTGAAGAATGAAGGTGCATCAGACATGAACTCACTCACAAAAGCTACAGCCCAAACTCAAAAACTCCTCCCATTCCCAGCATCCTTAGCTTTCAGCTTTGTGGAAGTAGATCCAGCCCAGTGGGGCCTCAGGCACAGACAGAAGATCCAAGAGGATCCTTTCAACGTGGGCATCAAGTCATTCTTAGAAATAATTACTTATAAACATACCATGACCAGCACAGAGAACACCAGCGATGAGAATTAGGAACTTCGCTTATTGTATTAAAAGAAGAAAAAGATCAGCTAGATAATATCTACAGGAAACAAAGTATAGGAAATTAGAGTTTTAGAAGGACCATTGAAAACCTCAAGAAATGAAAAATTCACTGTTTACTTACTTACAAGAAGCATATTAGTTTTTAACAGTTAGACACAGAAAAAGAGAGAATTAATGACCTGCAAGGTAGGTCTGAAGAAATGATCTAAAATGTAGCAAAAAGAGATAAGATAAAAAATACACATGAAAATAAGCAACATGGAAAATAGAATAAAACTTGTTTTGTTTAGTTAGAGTTTCAGAAAGAGGTGAGCGGAAGAATGAGGCATAGAATATATTATGAAGAATTGATGATGGAGAAATTTCCAGAACTGATGAGAATTCTCAGCTCAGACATTAAGGAATCCTACATGTTAAAAAAGCAGACAGAGGAAAAATTTTAAAAACAGCTGCGAAAAAACTCCTTGCATGCATACAAGCACTGATAGCCAATAACATGACGGCATCTCAAGCCCAGAACCAATGAAATGCACTGAAGAAAGTGGTCGGCGTTCTAGACCAGTCTGTCCAGTGTGTAGTTACTAATGACGTGAGTGGTCAGCTGTTTCGTTTTACTCTCATCCATCCAACACCCCAGGTAATGGCAGACAGGAAATCACGAGACCTGTAACATTGGAGCAATCATCTCTCCAGAATGCTAAAGTGCAAGGGTGTCAGTGAAAGGCCACGGTGACCCGAGTCACGGTGTTCCCATTTACTTCCTGTGCATCTGACAGTTGTACAACGAACACGGGAAACTGACGAATTGTTGCCTTTGAACTGTGGAGTTGGCGGAGAGGGTTGACTGTGCCATGGGCTGCCAAAAAGAACAGAGAGGTCTGCCTCAGAGGATGTGCAACCAGACTGCTCTGCAGAGGCACGGAGATGACACTCGGTCTCACATACGTCAGGCATGTTGTCAAGAGGAAACTACATCATGTCAGGAAAGAGTCTCAGAAAGGAAGCTTCTCAGCACAGTTGACGCAGTGACTGTAACAGTGGCCCGGGGCGCAGCGGAGATGGTGAGGATGGCGGGACAGGCGTGGCCGGGAGTCAGCTCCGCAGCGCCCAGTAACAACGACATTAAAATTAAACAGTTCAGTTCTTCAGTTGTATTACCTACACATGGCTAGTAGTCCTGGGTTGTAGAGGACACAGCATTTTCCGTCACTCTGAAGGGGCAGAGTCCGTGAGGAATGGGTCTACTAACTCAAAGGTCAAGCCTCCCCGGTAGTTCGCATCCATGAGTGGTTCCATGGGAGAAAGCTGGACAGTCTTTTCATGCAATTTACGTCCTTAGAAACCCAGCGGAGGATCAGTTAGGCGTGTCTTCCAGCTCAGTGGCAAGGAGAATGAAGAAGGAAAACACGCATTTTAACAGGATTGATGGTAATGGGTGAAAAGTGTAATGGTAAGGACAGCATAGTGCAGTGGTTATGAAGAGCTGCACTCTTATCAGAAGGTTGGCGGTTGGAACCCCCAGGCTGCTCTGGAGGGGAAGGATAAGGCCATCTCCTTCCAGAAAGATTGACTGCTTTGGAAATCCTGCTGGTCATTGTCCTTTGTCCCAGAAACTCACCTGATGGCAGTGACTTTGGTTTGGAATGGAACCATTAACCAGGAGGCTTTAACACAGGTAAGCTGTATGCCTGTCAGAGTGTAGCTTCAGCAGATCTAAAGCAAAAATAGCCTAACTGAAAAGAAGACACACTTCAGCAATGTGGTGACTCTTACCATGTCTCTGAAACGTCAGCATTGCAAGCAGACAAGTCCATGGACTGTGTAATAAATACACGTTGCCTAATGATTGTCAGTAGAGCCATGTTCCCTACAACAGGAGACTCTCAAGCATATGGAATGTTCATAAAAGATTATATGGAAGATAAGACAAATCTGAAAATACCAGAGGCTTGGCGTTGTGTATAGTATACGTACACTTGTTGCTGTGTACCATTGAGGCAGAACCATAGCCGATCCTCCAGCGAGCTTTCAGAGGCAGCGAATTGCACGGAAGGAGATTGCCCTTCCCTCTCCCACAGAGCAGCTGCTGAATTTGAAGTGCGTGGCTTCAGGATTGCCTTTTAGCTGCATGCCACTAGGTCACCAGAGCTCCCCCATATATAATATATACACAAAATCAGTAATAACAATAAAATTCTCCAGTAGACAATTACCTGATTTAAAAGTGAACCATCTATGAATGAGTGAATATGTAAAATATGCATATTTTAAAGGAAGGTGGACGTGAGGCAGCACGGAATGACAAAGGAAAATATTACAATGAAATGTGCGAGGAGCTAGAGTCGGAAAATCAAAAGGGCAGAACTCGTTCAGCGTTACTTAAGCTCAAGGAACTGAAGAACAAATTCCAACCTCGAGTTGCTATAATCAAGGATGCTTTAGGCAGAATGTTCAATGATCCAGGAGGTATCAAAAGAAGATGGAAGGAATATACTGAGTCATTGTATCGAAAGGAATTGGCAGATACAGAAGAATTTAATGAAATAACATTTGAGCAAAAGCCTAAGGTGATGAAGGAAGAAGTTCAAGCTGCT